ATATTGGCCCCTTTTTTGACAACCAATAGGATTCTGAACAAATCTCACCTTGGCATTTACGTCCTTGATTGCGGCTTTTTTCTCGTCGAGCTCTCCAATGATGCCCTCTATGGCCTTCAGCTCCTCTTGTACTGCCTCATCCGTCGTCTCTTCGGAACGTTTATGGCCTAAAAATTGAAGGTTTCTCGCAGCTGGAGCAGTCCTAATTTTTTCTGTTGGGAAGGAGCAGTGCCCTATGCTTCAGTGACATTGAAGCGGAGGCAGAGCAGTGATGGGAACAACATATTTGCCCTTAGGAACACAACCAGAATAGCCTAAACCATTTCTGCTCGAAAGTAAAGTGCTGAAGTCTGAGATGGAAAACGAGCAACCAGAAGACAAAGATCGTATTAAGAGTTTCTCATAATTCGACTGCTAATCAAATGCATGGCGAATCCCGTACCCATAATCAACTACAGAGTTAAGCGACAAAAAAGCAAAAGTGAGGCAAAGGCTGTCCGAAAAACAACAAAATAAGGTTGTTTCATAGGTGAGGCGATGCTTGAGCCATGGAGGAACCGAGAAGGACTGGAATCATAACTACAATTGTTACCTAACACTTCGTCGGCCTCTTGCATCCACAATTCTACAGCGTCTCGTGCCTGACCCCAGACTCGGCTTTGTTCGGCGATCTGCTGCAATGTCATACGACGTTTGTCGCACTGCCGTGCCACTCGCTCCATGTCGTCCATCTGAAAAGTATAAACTCAAAGAATGGAGTATTTTAACCTCGTATTTCAATCAATAAACCATACTAGCTAAAAAACACTAGACATTACGCGCCTCAATGAAAGCAAACAATAAATCTAATAGATAATACTGATTTGTTTGCTCGCTTTTGTATTTAACTCTATTTTTTTGAATATGTGTTGTTGGCACACTTTGTGTGCGAAAACAAATAGGTAAACAAGGAAATGGGTAAGTAAGTAAATAACTAAACCCTCACCAGATCTCTTGCCTTCTGTTTTACCATATTTGCGCTACTGACATCTTGTATACCAACCACATCCATAATTTTCATTCGTATATGGTCCATGATTCCCTGAAGACAAGTAGCCTACCCATCGAGTAAATAACATATTTATTTACCAATAGACTCGATAGATCGGTCAAATAAGCAAATGCTCTTAGGGAACTCAATAAGAGGGCTTTGGTTTGGATGGAGGGCAGTAGTTCTATACAAATGATTCTTAGCAGAACAGAAATCCCATTTTCCGAAAACTGAAAGTCAGGCCTGCCTCGAAGAGCTACGGGCTACACGAA